TAAACTACCTACCGCATTTCCTAGCTCCTTCACTCCTTCTCTCTCCCCCCAGGCATACTGCCCTGCTCCCACTGTTAAGTCCTGCATTTGATCATTCATTCACTCATTCATTCATCCCCTCAGCAGATGTGCATTGAGGCCTCCTGTGTGCTGTCATTAAACTGGGCCCTAGTGACCTAGAGACCAATGCCAGGAACTCAGGCTATGGGGAGACGACTACAAAACAGATGCAATTATACAATCCACCTGATTCTCTGATCCCTGCCCCACTTAAACTCCTATGTGAGGACCCTCCCAGTTTCCCCAGGTGGCCGGGGTCTCTCTCCTCTAACTGCCTGTAGTGGGGGGCTGCTTATGATAAGGATGACTGCACTTATTATGTGCAAAGTATTATACTAAGTGCTTTACATGAGCCAATTCCTTTCATCCCCACAAGGGCCCCCATTTTATAGATGAGGCAACAGAGGCCCAGAGAAGTCGGTTGCCTGAGGTCACCCAGCTAAGATGGAGCCAAGATTTGAATCCAGACAGCCTGGCTCTCAACTGCTCTGTAGCCTAGAACCAGGCAAAGAATCGCTCACCCGCCTTGAGTTATCTACCACGTCTGCAGCGTGCTTCCCATCTCCAAAGCACCATCCTGTCCCGCCAAGTCTGCAGGGGGGAGCTGCTGGCACTGTTTCAGAGAAACCCCTCTACCAGCAGCTCCCATGTGGGGAGCCCTCAGCATGGACCTGGCTTTGCACGCCTGCCATCTCCTCAGAGCCCCGTAAATTGGGCATCACCTCATTTCTCCAATGAGAACACCTGGCAGAGGCAGGAGGTGAAGTCAAGGTGGCCTGGCCTCGCACTCAGCACAAGGTAGGGAGACTGCGGGAACGGACAGGGGACCTGGGGCAAGGCGCTGCCCCTGCCCGAGGCTCTGATCCTTCAACTGTGCGATTGGCTCACGACACCCTCCTACAAGGGCAGTGAGTGGGGTGAGACCACGTGCCCGGAAGCGCTCCAGGGACGGGCGTGGTTTCAGGGTCCCACTGCTTCCTGATGGCATCATCGCAGTTACACTTATGCTCCTCCAGGCAGGCAGCAGGGGGCACCTCAGGGCTCTCTGAGGCCTCCAGAGTACATATGACATTCTGTTTGTCCTGACTGTCCCTCCCTGAATGATGAGCTCACCTGCCCGCCCTCCTTGCCCCCTTACCTTTGATCTTCTCGCCCTTGCTCAGGGAGATCTCCCCCTCGCCTTGGGCCTGGTAGGACTTCACGGCCATGAAGGATCTTCCTGGCACCGCTGAGTAAAGCTTCCTGCGCCTCCCACGGCTGCCCAGGGAGCCCCCAGGCCCCCCTGAGACCCCAGTGCCCCCAGTCGGCCCTTCCCGGGGCGTCCCACTGGAGCTGCATACACAGAGGGTATGAGAGGCAGGGGAGAGTGGAGGGTCGAGGCACCTCTGGGAGAACAGGGGTCCTTGGAGGGGCGGGGAGGAGATGGGGCATCAGGGTGGGGGAGGGGGTTTGAGTGGGTTCCCAGCTCTGGCATCCTGAGGGTAGGGGGGAAGAGGGCATCTGGGGGCTCCCTCTCTCTGCCCGCTGCTGCCCCCAGCCCCCTTTTCTGTTTCCTGGCTTCTGGCTCTGCCCCCTCCCACGGTCCTGCTCCTTCTTGTTCCACCTGATTCAGCCTCTTGAAGCTGAGCTGTGTCATCCCTCTGCTCAAGAACCTTCAGTGGCTCCCAGCTTCCTCCTTGGTTGGGTCTAATCCCCCTGCCCGCCATTCCCAGTCCGCCATGACCTTCCTCCTTCCCACATCTTTAGGACATGGTCAGCCATGGCCCCCTTGTCCTCCTCCGCTGGCCAGCCTGGCCTCTTTACCCCAGGATGCCCTCTCTCATCCTCCCATCTGCCCTAAATGGTCTCTCTGCGCCCCTTCCACCCTGCGCTCCGCCAGGCTCATGTCCAAGCTTGGACACCTCTCCCCAAGTCCCTCGACAGCTTTCGCCCTGTTCGGCCTCCTCTCCCCTCACCCTGTCATTCTGTCTGTCTTCAGGGCCTAGAACCAACATTTCTTTTGGGGTACACCCCTAGGTCCCTGGCATGGAGCAGGTTCTCAGCCAAATTGTGGTGCATTTGGGGATGGGTGCAAAGCTGTGGCTCACAATATCCCTCCTTCCTCCCGGGTCAGGAGAGAGATTTGGAGACCTGCGAGTGGGACCAAGAAGTTGGATGGATGGGGGACCAGTCATATATGGGACTGGAGGGGGGCAACTGGGCTGGCCTGGGGACAATGTGGCTCTGGGGAAGGGATTCGATTGGGTTGGGGTCTGTCTGTAGGACCAGGGCTGAACCTTCCCCTACCTGGGCCGTCCACGGGGCTGCCTCTTGGCCTCCTCAGGGTGCCTCCCTCTGGACGGGGAGCGGGCCCGGGCGCCCCGGGGGCTGCTGGCACTCCGGAGGGTCCCACTGCTGAGCTTGGTGCTGGGGGCTGAGGGCTGCGACTGGCCCTGGGGCCCTGAGGTAGGGCCAGGGGCCCCGGTAGACGAGGTTCCCGGGGCAGCGAACACCATCCAGTCAGGCAGGGCCATGCTGGTGTCACTGTTGGCCCGCAGCAGCGCGGGGGGCACCATCAGCCCGGCGTTTGGGGTTCCCCGTCGCCGGGCCGCATACTTGGGGGACTCCTGGAAGGGCACTGAGAGGGCACAGCGGCAGGGGGCGGAAGTGGCAGGGAAGACAGAGGCAGGTGGGGGGGGCATGCGGGCAAGAGTCGGTGGGGAGAGGCATGAGGGAAGAGAGATCAAGATGAGAAAGAGTGGGCGGCCTGGAATCATGCCCTACCACTACTCAGACTTTTGAAGTCCTCCAAGGGTTTCTTGATCCCATCCTGGCCCCCAAATCACGCCCTCTGACTCCTTGATCCCACCATGCACCCCCCAAGTACCCTGGGCTCTCCCTTAGCCCCAGCCCCACTCACCGACATCCTGTTCTCGATGGTTTCGGATCAGCTCCCCGAGCTCAAAATTCCCAGCGATCACTGCCACCTGGAAAGAGGGAGGATAGGAGGTGAGGTGGCCCAGGCACCCAGAAGAGGGGGCAGGAAGCACTGTGAGGTACCTTGCTGGCTGCTCCCTCCACCCCTGTGCCCCCAAACCCAAACCTTCACCCCAGCAACTCCACCCTCCCTCTCTCCCAGCATTCCTAATCATCTCGCCTTTCTTGACCCTCTCTGGTTGTCCTACCCCCACACCAGCCCCAACAGCCCCAGACCTGAAAGGGGGTCTGTCCATTGTTATTCTTCACATCCTTGTTGGCCCCTCGATAGAGGAGGATCCTAGCACAAGTCTCCTGAGGGCCATGGTCGGTGGCAGAGGGTGAAGGGGGAAAAAAAACAATTAAGGTCCCCATGAGTGGACACGAGCAGTATGCTAAGAACTTCAGAACAATCTGATCTCAGCCTTCCCTGCTGAGGACAGCAGCCACTCACCATGTGTGTAGCTCCTGAGCCCTTTCAATGTGGCCGAACTGAGATGTGCTGTGCGCGTAAACTACACACCCGATTTCAAAGACTTAGCATGAAAAAAATTAAATATCTCTAATAACTTTTATACTGGTTACTTGTTAAAATGATCCTATTTTGGATACAATGGGTTAAATAAAACATGCTACTAAAATTCATGTCACCTGTTTCTTTTTTCCTTTTAAAAAAAAAAGTGGCTTCCTGGGACATTTAAAATCCCACATGCGACTTGTAATATTCTATGGGATGGCGTTCATCTAAACCAGGGTTTCTCATCTCAGCCTCTGCACTACTGACATTTGGGATGGGGTAATTCCTTGTATCGGGGTGTCTCGTGCACTGTAGGATTTTAGCGGCATCCTTGGGCTCTACCACTAGATGCCAGTAGCACTCCCCTCCCCAGTGGTGACAACCAAGAATGGCTGCAGACAGTGACAGATGTCCCCCGTGGGGGGCAGAAACCTCCCAGCTGAGGCCCCCTATCTAAACCTCACGGAGGGCTTACTGCATGCCAGCTGCTCAGCATTTCAGAGGCAGAAGCTCACTGAATCACCCCAAAATTCCATGAGATGGAAATTATTGTCCCTATTTTTCAGATGAGGAAACTAAGCCTTCAAAAGGAGCTCGAGGTCACAGGGCTGGTGCATCAGCACTCACATTCAAACCCAGGTCTCTTTGCTCCCAGAGCCTATGCTCTTAATCACACACTCTGCTAGATCCAGACGAAGGGGGCAGTTTGGCAAGGATGCCATCCACATCCAGATCAATTCCTCACTCATGTCACTTATATGTCATTCCCTCTCACTCTTTGGATCAAACCCAGCGTCCCTGCCATGGCCTAGGAGGTACCATCTAACCTGATATGCCTGCCCCGCCACCCTCAGCCTCACCAGCTGCATCTTCTACCATCTCCCCTTGCTCCAGCCACACTGGCCTCCTTCCTCTGACAGGCAAACTCCTGCCCCAGGGCCTTTGCACTTCCTGCTCTCTCTACTTGGAATTCTTTGCCCCTCCATCTTCACATGACTCACTTTCTCACTTCGCTCAGGTTTTTGCTCAAATGCCACCTCTTCAAAGAGGGCTTCTATGACCACCCTGTCAAAAATAACACAGAACACCCCTGTTCTGTTCCCTGCTTTATTTTTATTTATGACGCCTGCTATGTCCCAGGCATAAGCCAGGCATAAGCTCATTTTCTTCATAACACTGTCTTCCTGAAATTACATTTCTATTTAATTTGTCTCTTCAGCATCCCTCTCCCACTACATTGCTCGTATCATAGGAGCATAATTCTGTCTGTGGCACCCGCCGCCTGGAGTAGTGCCTGGCCGAAAGGAGCTGTCCAATAAACAGGTACTGAAAGAGGGAAGGTTCTCTGCCTTTTGTCTTGGCCTGGCCAAACCCAACCTGGCCCCCAGCTTAATTCTTCTTTACTTCCCCTCATGCTAATTGAACCAGCATTCACCAAGCGCCACCTTGGTCTCACCCTCTCTAAATGATGAACCCACCAAGGATGCTTATCCCACATGACCGCCTCAGAGAGAGCAAATCTGTACCCAAGACCACACAGCCAGTTATTGGAGCAGCTAGGACTCCAACCGGGCCTTCTAATCCTAGTGCCCATCTATCTCCTGTGAATACATAACTCCAGTTGCATAAGTCAGTTCACTGAACAGCAGTTAGCCCAGCGAGTTTCCTGAGTCTGTGTGTCCGTGTATGCACATACCATCCCCCCCAACTAGACTGTTAACCACTGCCAGGTGTGTTTCTGCATGCCTGCACACCCCTGCCTCCATCTTGCCTAGCACATGGCCAGAGCATCAACACCAGCTCTTCACTCTACATCTCAAGAACCCTGTATTTACTGGTGTCCTAGCACTTATCTCATGGTATTGCAATTATTTGTTTACACGTCTGCCTCTTTGCCAGACTGTGAACTCGCTCTCTCCTCCCTAGGGCAGGTGCCCACTGCATCTGATTCATCTCACATCTGGCACACAGTAGGTGCTCAATAAATATGCATGGAAAGAGTGAGGATGGAGGATGTGATGCTGAATCATTCAAAATTTATTTGTTCAAGCATTCATTCATTCATTCATTCATTCATCGTCATTCAATCCAACTTGAAGCAAACCTGTTGAATGTTCTGAGTTGGGTGCTGTCTTGGGGAAAATCCAAGGTGGCTGACCCATTATTCATTCACTCACTCAATCATTCAATAAAGATGCATCTAGGCCTACTGTGTGCTGGGGCCTTGGGACAGAGTGATTGATCAGACTTAGCCCCAGCCTTGATGAGCTGACAGCCTAGACAAGGACCTGACCATCACCAGCAGGGGCTAGACAGGCATGCCAAGAGGCCAGGGGAGCAGAGAGTGAGGAAACCTGTCAGACCCAGCTCTGGGCTTTGGGAAACTTAAAGTCTGGGAAGGAAGACAAGGGGTGAGAAGTAGAAAAAGACCTCACATGTGTCAAGCATCTATTTGTTAAGTACCTCGCAGAGAGCAAGCAAACATTCACCCACTTGTTATAGACGCATTTCATAGATGAAAAAGGGGATGAAAGGAGGGGAAACAACTGGCTCATCTGTCTCACCAAGAGTAATCGTTCCTGCAGTCTAATTCTTCACAGTAAAATTTCCCTGTTCAAATTAATGGTATGGTTTCCATCTCCTGACTGATAATGGTTATGATAATGATAATAATAATTATTATTACAGCTGCCTTCTAGGGATGAGCACTTAATATACATGATCTTTCATCCCCTTCAATCAGCTGATGTCATTCCCATTCTCAGGGAGAGGATGGAGCCTTAGAGAGAGGGCAGGGCTTGTGTGGGGGGCCCTGGGCTGCCCGCAGGCCATGCACACAGGAGGTGGAGTCAGGGAGCAGGAAAGACAGGAGCCCTGGGAGGGGAGCTGACAGGCACTGTATTGGTTGAATTTGACAAACACTGAGTTCTCCCTCTGCATGCGCCAAGCAGACTGCTTGCTGCCACAAGGCTGCATGGGGCTACCTGCCACATCCCCAGCACTGCAAGTTCTGATTAGGCAGAAGGGGCTGGGGCTATTCTGGAAGACTTCCTGGAGGAGGGGAGAAGGGGCTGATGAACTAGCAGCAGGAGGCCAGGCCCTGTCCTCCCAAGTCCCCGCCATAGCTGTCTAAGGACAGAGAACCTTGGGAAGTGGGTGGGGAGGCTGAGGCTCTCAGGGGGCTAACTTGCTTAGGATCGCCTGTCATACAGGTAGCAAGGGGTCAGGGTCATCAGGCTGAAAGCCACAGCTCTTGCCAACCCAACCAGCCACCACAGAACACTGGAGCAGGCATGTGAGACTCCCTGCAAATTCTTTCCTGCTCACCTCCAGTCCTGAAGTGAGGACCCTCCACCCAGTCCTCAATTGCTACAATTTGCAACACACTCTTGCCCCTTCGGGGGCTGTGGTTTGGCCTTTCTCAGTCCTTTGCAGTGGCACTCAGCAGGTGCTCCCCTGGCGCCTGAATGGAGACTTGCAGGGAAATAGGTCCTCGGAGTTCCTTTCCCTTCTGGTAATGGTCCCGACTGTCTCCCCTCAGGTTTTTTGCCCAGGCCGTGCATCCTGCCTGGAACACCCTTTCTCCTCTCTTTCTACTCGGCTGACTACTGCTCATCTTAGCACAAGTGGCATATCCTACAGAGCCACCTCCACCCCAGCCCCAAGCCCAAGCCCAGATTTGGGCTCCCAAAGGGGCCTGGATTCCCTGTGACCTCCCTCTGAACACTGGATTGTAATGGTAGGTATGTCCCCTGATGGAGGGGCTGTCCTTCTTGCTTGCTACTTGGTCCATAGCACCCAACTCTGAGCCTGACACAGGGAATATGCTAAGTCAATATTTGTTGAATGAATGAACGAACGAACGAACGAATGAATGAATGAATGAATGAAACAGTGAAGGAGCAGAGGGCGCAGGGAGGCTGGGAGGCTGGAGTCAGGAGAAGGACCAGGCAGACCTTATTGTAGAGCGCGCAGATGTGCAGGGCAGTGTTTCCCGAGGCATTCTGGGCTCCAGGCTCAGCCCCATAGAAGAGAAGGTGCTCCAAGTGTTGAGAGTGACCCCGCTGGCAGGCCTGGGGAGGACAGGGAGCTGAGGAGGCCGGGTCAGACCCTCCTGACCATGGCATCTGTCTATATCCTTCTCCTTGAGGGCAGGAAGCCCTGTATCCACCTCCCCTTCTCCTATCAGCCCCTGTTCCTGTTTAGAGACCCAGGTTGTCAGCTTCACAAGTCATTCCAAGGCCTGGGTGTCTGGTCTGGCCCCTCGAGAGGCCTAAGAGGCTATCCCCACCCATCCCAGGAATCAAAGTGTCCAATCCCCCAGGTCATGCCCCCTTAAGCTTTGGGTTGACACTCGCATCTTTTCCTTTTGGGGACCATGAACTCTCACTCCCACACTCTGTGAGGCCTCCAGCCTCTGTATCCCCAGCTCTTTGGACCAAAGTCCCTGATCCTTACCCCTCTTGGGGCCCAGGCACCCCCACCCGACCCCATGCCCCTACAGGCCGAGGGGGGAGCACCTGGTGGATCTCCTGCCAGCCATTCTCATCAGCTATGCCCAGCTGGGCCCTGTTGTACAGAAGCAGCTCACAGCAGCGGGGATCGCCCCCCACCATAGCTGTATGGAACAGAGGGGTCAGCCCCCGGCGGTCCTTGTAGTTGGGGGAGCCCCCAAGGTCCAGGAGTGCCTAAACAAGACAGATGACAGTCACGAGAGCACCAGCTCATTTTGAAGAGCTGATGGGGCTGAGAGTCCTAAGCGATGCACACTAGCCAATGCCACAATGCCCTTGTGTGACCTTGAGCCTGGCCCTTCCGCTTCCTGGGCCTCTCTGAGCCTCTCCCATCCCCTGTGAACAACGAAGGTATCGGGAAGAGGCCTCCAGGGGACCCTCCCACTCTGACATCCTGCCCACCCTTCCCCCAAGGCTGACATTAGATGAGCCATTGAAGGAGCTCAGTACCTCAGTGCCCACCTGCTCAGCGGGATGGTTGTGGGGACTAATAAGAGAACTAAGTCTGGATGCAGAGGCCCCTGGCCAAGAGGGAGGTGTTATTAGGACCAACATCCCAAAGATGGGGCACAGAAGGAGGCCTGGGAAAGGCAAGCTTGGGTTAAGGCAAGTTGGGGCAGCCTCACTGGGGGTGGGGGCTCGGGGGCAAGGAGCGGTCCCACTCAAGGAGCAGCTCTGCACACAGAACGCTGCTGGCCTCAAGTATTATTAGGAGAGAGTGTTGGTGGTGGCCCTGTGTGAGGACAGCCTGCAGCGGTAATGTGGAACTGAACGTTCCACAGTGATGGAACAGTCTACGACTTCACCATCCAACATGGCAGTCACACGTGGGTTGCTGAGCTCCTGAATGTGGCTAGTGAGCCCAAGAAATGGACGTTCTGGTTTTAGTTCATTTTAACAAATTCAAATCTAAACAGCCCCACGTGACTAGTGGCTACTGGATTGGACAATATAGTTCTCGAGGCCTGGGGTGGGGTGTGAGCAGGATCTGGGTCTGGGGGAGGGTAGCGCATTGGGGGTACATAAAGAGGGTCTGCCGATTCCAGGTCATAAAGCGGATCTCTGTGGCTGGCGTCTGACTGCATTTGGTTCTTCAAGAAAGGGTTGGAGAAGGGGAAGGAGAGTCCATTCAGCTGGGGCATCTGTGAATCGGGGTGTTTATCCATAGCTACGAGGTAGTCTATCCTGACCCGTGTGTGAAGAGGGATCAAGTGCCCTTGGCTGGGGTGGTGGGGAGAAAGGAAGAGTATTTTCAAATGAGCCTAGGCAAGCTGACTTCGTGTATGTATTTTGTGGGCACATGAGGTTTATCCCTGTGGAAGGAGAGGGCTGTATTTGCACTGAGACAAGGGCAGTGTGTTTGGAGGAGTGAACACTAGGTTGGGAAGCATGAAGGCCGGTGTCTGGGAGGCAGGCCAAGGGCCTGCGTTTGCAGGGTATGTATGGAGGAGGGTCTCTACCTGCATTTTAAGGGACACTAGGAGGGTCTACACTTCAGGGAGACAGAGGTAGGGTTCACATTGAGCTGGGTATGAGGGAACGGAGGACACCAAGTGTCTGGGCGTTGGGAGAGTGATGTCATTTACCTGGGCATAGGGGAAAGGTCCATGTGACTATCAGCTATAGCTGGTTGTGAGCCGGGGAGAGTGGGTGCACCTGGGGGTGTGAGGAGGGTCTCAGATTCAGTTGGAGGAGTGGCAGTGGAGGAGGGGAAGCGGGAAGGTCTGGGGCAATTCATACAGTGCAATCTGTGTGGGAAACACGGCAATTTAGGGGTATCTGGGATATGGGGAAGGGTCCCCGGGGGAGGTGGCACCTCACCGTTAGAGCGAGGCAGTGCCGGGCACATGCGGCCTTGTGCAGCGCTGTCATACCATCCCGGGCCCGGAAGTCGATGTGAGCTCCACCCAGGCACAGGGTTCGAATCACCTCTACTGAGCCTTCAGTCTGGGCAGCCAGCGTCAGGGGGGTCTCTGGGGGGAGGGGAGGGAAGGCCAGTCACATGTAAGTCCCAGACCTCTTGCTGGGTGCCACCACCAAGGTCCCCAGCCCCTTCCCTACCTCCTGAATCTGAGTCATGGTAATTGGGGTCCAGCCCCTTGTCCAGCAGCCGCGCCACCTTGTCGGAGGTCCCGAGCTGCACGTACTCCAGGAATTTCTTCAGCCCGGTCTGAGCCATGGACAAGAGAGAGAAGACTGGCGTGTCAAGGAGCAGGGGACAAAAACTGGGGTCTCAAGCTGTGCTGTCCAGTGGAAATACACAGCGAGCCACAGACGACATAAAAAAATCCCTAGCAACCACTTTTTTTAAAAAAGGAAGGGGAGATGTCAATTGGGTTGAAATTCACTTTAGTGACGTATCTCTTTTTTACCTATGTCCACCATTTCAAGCGGGTAATCCATATGAAATTTACTAAGGAGATATTTTACTTTCAGGGGGGAGGTACTGAGTCTTTGAAATCTGGCCTGCATTTCACACTCGCAGTGTGGCTCCGCTTGGAAACTGGCCACATTTCAAATGCTCAGAAACTGTATGTGGCTGGTGGCTCCCACAGTGGACAGTGCAGGTCTGGAGAAAGGGAATATTTGGGGGAGGACAAGGATGAAAGCATGGCAGGAGTGATGAGGAGGGACCAGGGGGATTTTTCCCAAGTGTCCAGAATCCTTCACTTCACTGCTGACCAAAACTGCCCCCTGGCTTTCTTCTGGCTCTTAGGGAACCAAGAGAGACAGAGGGATATATGATCCAAGGACTGGAGAACAGATGTGGCCAGAGAGGGGGACACCCTTGGGTCTAGTAGAGGTTTAGGCCATGAGCTTGGGGGAGCTGCAAGGTGTCTATGAAACAGTCCCAGGCAAAGAGACACTGGATGTCAGAGTCCAGGCCAAGAGGGTTGAAGGGCCCTGTGTGGATATGGGGGGACCCAACAGATGAGACGGGCAAGTTCAAGGATGAAGAAAGTGGGAGCCAGGCGGAAGTGATGTGGGTCCGGGCAGAAGAATGAGCGGCCAAAAAGGAAGTTAAGAAGGGGGTATGATGGGGGACACAGGGGGGCATTTGGAGCTAACCCAAATTATCTCCAAATGGGGACCCTAGCAGATTGGGAAATGTGGTGGGCTATTGGGAAAAGGTGGGAGAGGGAGTGGTTGGGGAAGGGGTTCCGGGTGGTGGGGAGTGCTATAAGGGGGCGGGTAGACGTCAGCAGGATTCTCTCACCTTCGTGTGTAACTTGGCTAGCTGCTTCTCATCCAGGTTGGTCTGTTTGTAAACTCGGGTCTTGTACCGGAACTGAGGTCAGGGGTAGGGTGAGGGGAGAGACAGAGACTCAGTCAGGGGCCTGGGGAGGAGGCTGGACTCCCTTCTGAGCTTAGGATCAGGGTGGAAACAGTCCCAGCCTTGGCTGGGTGGGCAGGGGGGTGTGGGGCCACTGTGGAATGTGCAAACTGCAAACCCTAACGTGAAGGAGTAGGAGTCTGGACCCCGTAGGGAGTGTTCTGGAACACCTACTATAAATGGGAATCTTGACAGGCGGAGGACAAGCTTGGGGGACTCTGAAGGTCAGAGCATGGATCGCAATTGGAACTCAAGTATCTCTGACTCTTTCTGATTCCTAGGCGACTCTTAGGTGCCTGGAGAGCTGGAAGGGACCCCTGGGTTTTCCCTTGCTAAGGTCTTGGGGGGAAAATGGGGAGAGGACAGGTGGTGGGACATGCCCTCTCTCATCTTAGAAGGCTGTGGGCCTCACCTCCAGGTAGGGCACCCCCTTCTCGAAGGACTGGGGGTACTCCCGCAGCAGCCGCTCTTCCTCCAGGAAGTTGGCATCCCGGCCCGAGGTGGCTGGCTGGAACAGGCCGTAGTTCAGTACATCCTGTAGGCTCTCGCTCAGGGCACAGAGCACCTGCTGCTTGGCTGTCCAGATGGTGGCATCAGGGTTGAAGCGCAGGCATTTCTAGCGGGGGAGGTGACAGGGAGAAGCCTGAGGTGGTTTGGGGATGGGTTGGGGGGTGATTCTGGAGACAGGTGGGGGATTTGAGTAAGCATGTGGGGGTACGGAAACGGGGCCAAGTGGGAAGACACCCAGCACCAGCGGTCTCCTGGGGTGGGCTTGCACCCTTGTCCCCCTGTTGTCCAATGAGAGGGTCACTCACTGTCTGATGCAGGTCCGGAATGCCAATCCTGAAGACCATCATGCTGAAGTGGGCGTCGTCTGGGACAGACATGGAGCGGCCCTGGAGGCCTCGGACCGAGGCCAGGCTACCGGGTGCCCCGCTGCCCTGGCCCCGGATCCCCCGGAGGCCTTTCCCGGGCCCGTCTGGGGAGCTGTCGGACTCTGAGCCCCCCTCGGGACACTCGCTGGCACTGTGGCGTTCCTCGTCCTCGCTTGAGGCGGGGCTGTGGGTCATCGTGGGGCCACGGGGCGACGGGGGACGGCAGCATCACAGGCGGCTGCTGGGGCCAAGGGCGGCTGTCAGACTAGAAGCCCCAACCCCTCAGAGGCCACAGGCACACTCAGTGGACCAGTGGTCAGGGGCAGCAGCCCCACACTGCCTGAGGTAGGCAGGAAGGAGGCTGGACACACCCCCAGACACTCCTGCACACACCCCCATCCCTGCCATGCTGCCAGCACATGTCTCCTTCCCTGCCCTTGGCCCTGCTTGAGCCCCCGCCCCTCCTGCGCCCCACTTTGCCGCTGACCCAGCGTGGCAGTGTCCCAGAAACCGCAGAATCACCGCGGGAGCTACTGGCCCACTTTGCCAGGCCAGGGAAAATGCAGCTAAAATTAGCTGAGGACAGACAGGTGGACGACCCACCGGCATCCTGCCCTCCTGGCCCCAGCCTGGCCCCTCACCCGAGGCCTTCCCATCTTTCTCCCAGATAGCTAGGGGGATGGGGCCCTGAGATGTAGTAAGGGGGAGAGGGAGGTGCCATGAGCCTGGGGCAGCAGGAGCAGGAGGCCTCGTGGTACCTGGAGCGGGTGGAGCCCGTGACTTCACTGAAGTGTGGCTGACAATCTGTGCAGAGGGCTGAGGAATCGGTGTCCCAGGGGAGCCTGGGCACTGGATGGGGGTGTCACAGGGCAAAGAATTGTGACCTGTGCAGGTTGTTGGGGGCATCTTAAGAGGGTGTGTAGGTGGCTGAGGAGGCTGGCCCTGGGAGGTTTCTCCAGGTAGCCTGGGTCAATGTGGGGTGGCTGCACATGACCTGTGGGCGTGTTTGACGACTGGCACTGCAGGGTGGGTGGATCAGCATTGCCTGGTACTGGTGGCCCCACTCTGAGGGAGATTGGGAGGCTGGGAGGGAAACTAAGGAATGGGGAGAGGGTCTGGGGGACCAGGGTGAGAGGTCATCTCCAGATCCCCGCTCTTCTCTGAAGTGGCCTTAGGAGAGTGGGTCCCCAGTGGGGTCCACCTGGCTCATCTTACCCCTGGCTCCCACCCCAGCACCGGAAACCAGAATGTCTGGTCTGGTCCCTCCCCTCCCCCCCACCAGGCCCGGCTCCTGCACCGTTGCCATGGAGATGGGAAGCAGTGGAGGGTATTGCTGACTTTGGGAGAGTGGGGATGGGCTGGGGGGTTGGGGGAGGGAAGGCAAAATGTGTGTGTGGGGAGAAGAGTTCCAAGAGCTGTAGGTGAGCCAGCATCACCACCCCCTCCCCCATGCGTGCCCAGGACTTCGAAGCTCCCCCCACACCCCCGCCCCAGGTACCGGGCAGCGTTGCCCGGCCTTGCCCTAGCCGAGCCTTAGAGCCTTAGGTCTTCACACCGCGCGATTCCACATCCCACCTCCCGACCGACCAGAGGCCCACAGCCACTCCCCCTCGACTGACCCTGGCTGACCCCCAGCCTCCACCCGGCACTAAAGGGGTGGCCAGTGGGATGAAAGCAAAGTTGTCCCCGGCCCCCCCGTGCGTGCAGCTGCCCCCAACCCCCAGGACCAGCTCCGGCCCCTCCCCCTCCGGCCCCGAAGGAGGGAGCCGGCACACTCAGCCGGGGCGGCATGAATCAAACGCTCCGCGGCTAAGAATAGCTGGCACGCAGCTGGTACCGAGACAGGCTGAGGAATAGGATGAGGGGGGGAGAGAATGGGAGAGAGGGGGTGCCCTGGGAGGCTGCGGGGTGAAGGAGGGGCGGCTGGCGTGGCCGAGAGCGGGACCCGGGAGAATGAATGGAGGCGGAGAGAGGCGGGGAAAGGGAGTCAAGGCTGGGGCTGAGCAGCTGGTGGGGGAGAGCCCCGGGCCGGGGAAAGGGGGCGGGGGCACCCGGGAGTAGGACTCGGGGGCGGGAGCCGAGGGGGCGCGCCGGCCGGTGAAGAAGGCAGAGGCGACCGGGTGGGGATGGGGGGAGCCTGTGAAGGGGGTGGGATTGGATTGGAGGAGGCTGGAAAGAGAAGCAAGAGCTAGAAGGGGGTCGCAGGGGGCGGAGGAGGCTAAGGCCCAGACCCTGCTGGAGGGCTGTGGGCACCAGGGTGACCTGGGGGAGGGGCCTCGCAAGGTGGGCCAGGGTGGGGGAGGCGGGGGAGTGGCCCGGCAGGGCCAGGAGGCAGGTACAGCGACCGAGCCCTTGGCCTTGGAGCACCAGGGGGTTGGGTTCGGGCTGGGGGCTCTGCTTACGGGGGATGGGGGGGGGCGCATCCACCCATCAAGTCTGCGATCTGGGACGGGGCACCGGGGACCCGGGCGTAACCCAATTTGGCGTCGCCCAGGGCAACGCTCCCCTCCTGGTCCCCACCCCCCACCCCCCCCAACGCACACCCGGGCCTGGAACCCGGCGCATGGCCAAGGACAT